CCCATTCCTAAGACAGGACAACTACAAGAAAGGTTTTTCTATAAGTCCTTGACCCCATTTTTATTTTACATTCTTGAATGTGCACCCCATAGTGAGAATGATACTTAAAGGAAAGGGATTTTGCAAGTTCCACACGTCTCCCGTTCTGTGCTTCTATTACAATCAGGAGCTACTATCTTCTTCAACGTATTTTACTTGTACATTAAAAAAAAAAAAAGGGAGATATGGGCTATCCTGTGGAGTGTACGACACGCCTTCAAGTTGACTTTGAAAGGTGATTAATTATAGCAGTGTCTGTTCAGTTTCAAAAGTTCAAATTAAATACACTTCAAAACGCTTATCAAAGGGAATATATTTTACACACCTGTCAACTGTGAGAAGGGCTGATTGAGTTGAAATTATGAAGGAGGTAAGCTAGTCATTAGAACACTGGCACACCCTACTCTGGTCTGTTCAATGAATGAATCTTCTAGTACCCCTTGAGTGGCCCTGTCTTAGGCACCCCATAACTAATTCTCCACGAGTTCTGTGATTTCACAGAATTGATATAATTCATGGTTGGAAAGGACTTTTAGAGCTCACTGAGGTGCAGACATAAAGGGACATGGCCGAGTCCTAGTGAGTTGAGAAGATAGTTAGAGAATGCCCCAAAGGCTTCAGGCCATCAGTCCAGTACTATGTCCAGCAGGGGTCAGCAAACTACAGCCCCCAGGCCAAACCCAGCTCAATGTCTGTTTTTGTAAATAAAATTTTATTGGAACACAACCACACCCATTCATTTATATATTTTCTATGGCTGCTTTCCCTCCACAGCCACAGAGGTGAGTAGAGGGAGATACTGTGGCTTGAAATTGAAATAAAGCAAATCACAATAAAATGGTGACAAAATGAGGTATGCCGGAGACTGTGGCCCACAAACCCGAGATTATTAACTATCTGACCCTTTATAGAAGTGCCGAGCCCTGTGACTATAGCTGCATTTGAGAATCACTCCAAAAAAAATGAAGTCCAGGCTGCTGGGCCACACTCTTCACCTTCTCGACCTTCTCCTTTCTCGACCATCTCATCCTCAATCTTTCCAGATGGGATGCAGGAGTCAGCATTTGTAGAAAAGGTGATTTTAATGCTCAGTCAGGTTAAGAATTACTGTATTACATCTTGCTGCCCCTAAAGCACATCACCTTGAAAACACATTTCAGGCTGGAAGTGTTTTACATGGGCTGTGAGACTGGAAAAGCTCTCCAGAGCACTGCTCACAAACGTCTGCTAGTATGAAAATCCCCTGGAGTGCTCGTTAGAACTCAGACTGCTGGGTCCCACCCCCAGAGGTGCTGACCAGCAGGTCTGGGGTGAGGCAGAACTGGCATTTCTAACCAGCTCGCAGGTGGTGCTGACGTTGCAGATCCATGGACTGCACTTGGCATAGCACTGACTTAGACCAAAAGGGCTTGCATCTCTAACGAGAGAAAGTCAAGTCCTATGGGCCGTGGGATGGGGTTAAGGATGTACTTATGGACCAACTGCTGGGATAGTCCTAGATCACGCTGTAAAGACCCCCATTCCTCTGCTCAAATCATCATTGCTCTCTCCTCTTCCACCATCCATCAGACTTGAAATTAAGCAACCGTTGTTCTGGGTCTCTACTCCTGTACAGGTTTTCTTCTATTGTGTTTTTCAACTCCCTGGGGAATATTTTGAGTCTTGTAAAATAACTGTTTTGAATGGAGAGAGGTGGATGGAGGACACAAGAGTTTCAGGTATAAAAGAAAATGGATTATATGTCACAAAGCAGTAAGGAAAAACAGCAGAAGCTGAATAAATTTTTGTCAAAATCTTAACTGCGAAAATACAAAATGATGAAAGGCAACAGAGACAGACAGAGACAGAGGGCCTTGGTGCCACAAAAATGATTTTATTTTGAACCAGAAAACAACAGCAATCAAGGGAATAGTCTAGGCTCAGGGCTTGGCAGTGAGACTCAAGTACCAGGGAGTGAGTTTGTCCAGGGGCAAGGAGCGGCATAAAGAAAACCACCTTTTCATTTCCACACTAGCCTCATCCAGGTCGCAACACTTATCAGTGATTCGCATTTACACAGGCTTGGGTTGCTTTTCAGATTTCAGATTTTTGTAACTGTTTTGTACATATTTGTAAAGGTGAAGCAGCCACTGCAGTGAAGGTTTTGAATTGGTGCCCCTCCCCCCACCCCTTTCTTTTTGGTATAGAAGGCATTGAATCAGTAAGAGAAAAAGCAAAAGTTATTTGGGAGAGTTTTGCATGAAATAAGTTCCAAAGACATCAAGAGTTTTTAAACTGTGGCACTGTTGATATTTGGCGCCAGGTAACTCTGTTGTGAGGGGCTGTGCTGTGCACTGTAGGATGTTTAATGGTATCCTTGACCGCTACCCACTAGATGTCAATAGCACACACCCTTCCCCAGTGGTGACAACCAAAATTGACTCTAGAGATCGCCAAATGTCTCCTGGGGGGCAAAATCAAGCCCTGGTTGAGAAGCGCTGTTTTCAGAAGCATCCTGCTGCCCTCATTATCGTCCTTGTATGTTTTTTTGACCATTTTATTAAGGTAGACCAGATCTTCGACTTCCCAACACCAAATGCACCTGTATGTGAGCATATATGCATGTGTCTCTGCAGGAATTCGCATATGTGCCTGGAGCTGAGATGGAATTCCACGTTCACTGGAGGACATTAGTTCAGTTCCTCAGGAAGTTTAAGGTCAATGCATCAGTACCATAATAAAAAGCCTATCTGTATTCAGGCTGTTTCCTCTTCTCCAGCAGAAACCATCATCAAAACTTGCAGTCAGTTTTTGAAGTCACTTTCTTTTAAAGTTGGAAAGAAAATCTTCATCTAGGCCCACCCTCATCTTAATCCACCATTTGGATTCCTACTTGAATGATATAACCAGCAATTTTTCAACTTTGGATCCAGATTTATTTATTTGTATCCACCAGGAAGAGAGGTACCATGTTTCTGAGTTCTGTTATGAGTACTGGCTACATAATTGGCAAGGCCCAGTGCAAAGTATGAAGGCCCTTTGTTCAAAAATGATTAGGAATTTCAAGAGAGCGACAGCAGAACATTGAACCAAACTTAGGGCCCTTCTGAGCCCCGAGCTCTAGGTGACTGCACCATTTGCACACCCATGACGCCTGACTCGGCAGCCTTGGTTGGTGCTGCCTCAATTTTGTTGTATTAACTGGCATGGCCGTCTCTTTTGCCCCTGTATGGCAATGCTTCCTGTGAAGTGAGGACCACAGAAAATAAAATACCATGACCCCAATCCATTTAAAGAGAACGCAGAATTATACTGAAGCAAATGTTTACAGCATATATTTTTAGACTTTCCAAAAAATCCACATGGAAATCTTTTCTACATCATTACAGTCATTAAAGTAAACACTGTGGCATTTCACCATATACATATTTTCCTGTAAATACGACAACCTGGAAATAGTAACTGCTACTATCCACAATATTTTTAAGTTAGCCAACAGTGAGGCTTCCAAGACAAAATTATAACATAACATTTCTTGTCCTTATAAAAATAGCCAAAACATACCCTAAACAGCTTGCAGTGAAAATTTGAGTAGTAACTTCTTTATACTGAAAAACATTGTATTCATGGAAATATTGTCCTTCTAGTAAATCCTTTATGTTAACATCATAAGGCAAACTGTAGTATTTATTGGTACCTGGAGACCATGGTTTAAAAAACTCAGAAGGTGAGTTTTAGACCCATTTATTTAGAACCTATTGAGTGTACAAAGTCCATTAAAATATCCATTATCCAGTTACTCAAAATGTATGTAAAAATTACTGAGATAACCCTTTCAGTTTATTCAGGGAAGGCAAATACACATTGTTTTTATATTGTAAAAAAAAAAAATCCCATAAAGTTTGCAGAGAATGATTACTTTTTTTCCATTGAGGTGTTTAGATGTAAAATTGTCTTAAGTAGCTATCAAAATATTCATCTGCGTATAAATAATATAGTAAATATATAGAATCTATCTGTTAAGAAAGAGGAGGGTGTCTGCCAGGAAAGAGGAGAGAAGGACATTGGAAGCCAGCTTGGCCTCCCTTGAAGTTTAGATTCGCAATCACAAAAGCTTTGGCTACGTGATGTCGAAACAATGGGTCTATTGACTTATTTCAGGGAAACAATTGGTTGATTTAGTTAAAAACAAAATCACTAAAAACAATGCCTAAATCCACCGGTCTGGTGAGTCAAAATGGATCAATATTTTAGCAATTGAAGCCATTCATAGAGGTTGCACCCTTCGTCAAGGTAGAACCAATGCCAGAGTCCCAGTCCAAGGACTGCTCAAGAAAGCCTTAACTCATGGACCATTCCAACGTGTCAGGTCAGCGTGCAAAGAATCCCATCTGACATTTTATTAGCAGGGTGTTCTATTAGCAAGTTTCTGAGTGGGAATAACAAGTTAATTTTTTTTTTTTTTTTTTTTTTTGTCTTACAACTCTATGGTAAACTACATTAGAATATAGAGGGACTTCTACATTTTTCAAGATGTGTTTAATAAAGGTCTATCTATAGTAACTTTTGAAGTGTGTATCTAGTGAACAGTACTTTATGCAATGTCCCCTGTCATTATCAACTCATAAATATTAAGTGTTTTTCAGTGACTTATATTTGGATGTGGTAGTGGTGATTGGGACTATGTGCTGGTATTCCGAAGAGCAAAATCTATCCTAAGTGGTGCTTCCATTTGTGACAGAACATGTTTATTTCCTCAGCTCCAGAAACTAAAGAAAAATTGATTTGTGTGTGTGTGTGGGGGGGGGGGGGGA